CCTGCATTCACAGTAAAGCGATTTTGACGTGTATTGCAATTCCAAGTAGAATTTACTTTTGGACATTAAACGTTTCGAATGCATATTAAACTAATTCAAATCAGTTAATAATGTGAATCGAATTCGAATTATGTGTGAACGCAGCATTGATATATCTAAGAAATGAAGAATATTAAAAAAAGATGGACAAAATATTTGTATTAATTTTGTTGCAATTTTTGTCTTGCCTTGACAGAGTCAAAAAGTGAGACATATATATATATATAGGCATGCTGTTTTTGGCGGAATCAACAATGTATTAGTTTGTGATTTTGTGATAAGGTCTGGTTTCTGGTAGGTCAATGACATTTTGTAAGTAGTTGTGTTAGCATAGGCACATCTCATTACCATAGAGAATATTTGGCCCCACTCCCTTAGTCATGGTCTATTGACTTTGACACTTTGCATAGTTTACATGTATATGTTTGTGATTAGGTCAGTTTAGGGGGAACCACTAGTGGTAGGTTAATGATATTTGGTGTGCAGTTGTATAAACTTTTTCATTTCTAATTTCCATTGAGATTATTTGGCCCCGCCCCCTCAATCATGCTCTTTTTACTTGAAAACTTATGTTACTTTGAAATTTCATTTATTAGTTTTCGATTAGGTTAGTATTAGGGAAACCAATAGTGGTAGGTCAATGATAATTGGCATGTAGGTGTAGAAGCATTAGTACGTCTCATTTCCATAGAGGATATTTGGTCCTCACCCCTCAGTCATATGCATGATCTATTGACTTTGAAACTTTTACTTAGTTTACATGAATGAGTTTGTGATTATTATGATTATGTCAGTTTAAAATTACCAGTAATCTTAAGTCAAAGCTATTTGTTATGCGAACGTATTGGTATTCAAAAGTTTCATTTCAATGGATATTATATAACCCCACCCCCTCATTATGGTTCATTGACTTAGAAATTGAATTTGTGTTAAGGTTTGTTTAAAGGGAACGACTTATGAAAAGTCAATGGTATTTGGTTTGCAGTTGAACAAGCATTGGCACCTTTCATTTCCATCATAGAGATTGTTTAGCCTTGTACCTTCAGTCATGGTTCATTGACTTTGAATATCACTTACATGTTAAAGTATTACTATTTTAAGTGTAACATTTGCATTATCAAAATAACAAATAGGCAAAACATTACGTTGTGTTAATAGCTTATTATAGATTAGACATGTGTAATTATTATAAAAATAAGGAGATGTGGTATGATTGCCAATGAGACAACTATCCACCAAAATTCAAATGAAGTGGATGTAAGCAATTACAGGCAACCGTACAGCCTTCAAAAATATATGTTGCATCATTGCTAGGCCATTATAACAACATCAGCATTTCTTGTAATACTAGTATACAAGAAAATTACACCATTTCAGATAGTTTCAGGTATGATTTGATAATTGTGCATAGTGGCACCAGCTGATCCAACTAAAAGCGCTAATATGGCATATTCAAACTCTAGAACATAGTGGAATTAAACCATACACCACTGTTGGACACCATAATTGAAATTATTATTCTGAAAAGAATATTCCTCCATGCAGCCTGCAACAATTAGCAAAACCTATAGTAAGATATAAACGACCACGAAATGACAAATGTAAAACAATAAAACTAAAGCAGCCTGATTTATGTACAAAACAATTATGAAAAATAAATATGATATACAGCAACAATCAACAATCACCAAATTACTGGGTCCTCACTATGGACAGGTACATACAGAATGTGGCGGGTTAAACATGTTAGCTGGCACAAAACTCTCCCCTAACATGGGACAGTGTATGTGCATAATCTCAGACATTGAATCTTTAAAAAATAAATTGGAAATAACTTTTGAAAGTAGTAGGATTGGATAGCAGAAACATTACGGTACAAACATTATTTGATACTTGAGAAATAGCTGAGATATATAGATTCTACCACTGCATCGAGTGTGATACGATATTTATCCACTCGAGACAGTCAATGACAGTTAAATTTTCAAATTTAAAACGCGAGGCTTGCCGAGCGTTTTAAATATTTAAAATTTAACTGTCGAGAGTGGATAAATATCGTATTACACGAGATTTGGTGGTGGAATCTGTTTCTCTAATGATTTTCAAACAATATTCAGGCAAACTTATTCCGTTTTTTCGAATGATCTGTAAAAAGATGTGTTCTTTCTATGTGACGTCATCAGACATGGTCGCCTTTTTTCATGCAGTCACAATAGGAAATTCAGAGGAAAGCAAGTAAATTCGACGTCATAATCGGATTTTAACCAATGAAGAACTGAGATCAAACGAACCACACGTTAATTAAATTTTTTGTATACAATGGGTGCAGAAAGGGATAAATTGACGAAGAATTAGAGAAAAATATTTTCATCCATTCTTCCGCTATATTCATCTTAACTTCTGACAAGTTTACCTTTAATTTTTTTAATTAACTGCCTATAGCGCCTTTGGTGCTTTGATTTACTTATATATATATATCTAACTACAAAACATTTTCACATTATTAATTTATGTTGTAAACAAAAATATTTTTATCAGTATTCATTGAAGAGATGTATTTATATCGAATGACAAGGAATGTTATTTTGCACTCGTTTATGTGCGCATATTTATCATGTTTATAGATCGGTTACAAACCCAAAACTAATTTACATAATGGAAATCTAGGCGATAGCAATACATCGGAGTGACCTCAAGGTCATCGCGATGTAAAAATCGGACTTGGCTAACATTTTTTAGACGATGCATTAGAGTAATAAAAACTCAAACCATCGGTGTTGTTGTAAATATCTTTTGTAATTCAGATCTCTACACGCATGAATATAACATCAATAAGAATCGAAATTTGAAAATCATTACACGGGTATTCCAAACACCCTTATGGATATTGTAGAATTTAATTTGGACAGTCCCATAGTTGTCTCATTGGCAATCATACCACATCTCCTTATTTTATACTTTACTTTTATATTTAAACAGTAGGGGGTCTATTTATTACAACAAATACCTTTAACATGTTTAAAAATAATGTTAATACCGACCCACAAATTGGGGAAATCATTTTGTCTTGACACAATAGTCTTTCAAATTAAGACATCTATAATTTTTTCCTATATATTTTAAAAGTTTTTAATTGGCTCTCAAGTTCTTGACCCTTGGTGTTATGGGTACACATTCGTAAGTATAATTTCTTTTGGGGTTTCATGATGGTCATTATGGACACTAGTATTGATAAATTGGTTTTTTTTATTGAGTGTCATCGATTTACATTGCCAACTATATATATATATATACAAGTCTAAATTGAAAACAACGTTCAAACCTATGATTGCGTTGGATAAAAATCGCAATTTTTATACGTGTGCATGCAAAACAAATTTCTTGTTAGAGGGGTCTAAATACAGCACAAACAACATTTTCCAAAAGACCAAAAAAGTGAAAAAGTATATTTAAACAAAACGCATTTGACTAACATATATATATAAGCAACTAGTGAAAAAAGGGTTGATAGGCTCCGTAAGACTTTAGAAATATGAAGATGTGGTATGATTGCCAATGAGACAACTAACCATCAGAAACAAAATAACGTATAAGTTAACAACTGTAAGTCTCCGTAAGGCCTTCAACAATAAGCAAAAACCATATCACATATAGCAAGCTACAAAAGCCCGACATAACAAATGTAAAACAATTTAAACAAGAAAATTAACGGCCTAATTTAGGTACAAGACCATAAACGAAAACAAATACTATATACAGCAACAAACGACAATCACAAAATAACAGGCTCCTGACTTGGGACAGGCACATTACAGAATTCGGCGGTGTTAAACATGTTCGCTGGCACTACCATTATTGTCTGATTCTGCCTGTGTATAATACCAGACACATATAATACTAGATCACAGGCGCGGATCCAGCCATTTTCAAAAGGGGGGTTCAAACACTTGCAAGTCATATAAAAAAGGGGGTCCAACCATATGTCCCCATACACAAGCATTAGTTTTCAAATAAAAAGGGGGTTCCAACCCCCGGAACACCCCCTGGATCCGCCACTAGATCACGACGATCTAGTTAACTAAAAGAAAATAATTAAGATTGTGGCTCGTTTCACAAGTTGAAGTTTTACGATCGTACGTTCATTGTGCGATTTTTATGCGACACCCATACGATCTTTGGACACTGGAACAAATAAACCGTCTTTAGAGCAGTCCATGGTTGGACTGAAACAGTTAGTGGTAGTTAGATATTTACAGATTATAAACATTACCGGGTTAGCCACATTTACCCTATTTGCCCATCACCTTGAGTTGGAAGTAACAGCTGTCAGCGCAATTTTCACGGTACCAGAGACGTATATGTGTATATATGTCTCTGTTTGTACCGTGATAAGGAAGCCGATACACTTTGACTTAAAACAGAGACATATATATGCCTCTGCTTAAAAGGACTTCCAGAGACATTACATTACCAGAGACATAATTATAATGTCTCTGGGACTACTTATAGGCCGGGACCGTAAGTTTCTTCCATTTTCACAATTCAATAATATAAAAATAAGAAGTGTGACATGATTTCCAATGAACCTGATCATCAGAGACAAAAAAAAACCACACAAAGCGAAGTTTTCAGAAAAACCATAGTCCCTGTTAGTATTTCCACAGACTGGCAATACAAATGGTTTGATATTCGCCCGGTGCTACCAATCCCAACATCATTGACTGGCTACTTTGCCTATTAAACTCCGACGCTAAATGAAAATTTAAGTTTTTTTTCATTAAGTTTATGAAGAATTTTTATTAATAGTTTCTTCAACTTGAATAAAAACGCAAAAATCGAGTTTATAAATACTTTCATTACTCACATTCTCAAATTAACCTTAAACCGGTTTGCCTACGGAAATGATACGCACCGATGATTGGATCGAAAACTAAAATCCAAATTTGACCTTCACCCTCCATTGTTGTCACGATAAACATGGCGCTGGACTAGACATTGATTCTTTAACTTATTCAGTTATTTAAGTTATATGTTTCTTATTTTGTGATATTTTTAGCAGGTAAATTGATATAACTTGAATTTGATGAAAAACATATTGAGTGTTGTAATTTAAGGACAACTATGTCATGGAAATAGACCCCCTCCCCTCCTAATATGAACGATATGTCGGTTTTAGTTTTATATTTGATGTCATTGAAAATTATTATGAAATAATTAGAAAAATAGATTTTCAATTATTAACAATACTGTTAAACCAGTCATGCGCCAGAAAGTAATCATCAACCAGTTGATGTTTTTCTGTATATAAAGAAGAAGAACACTGTCGCATTCTCTAGATTGTAGTCAATATGTGTATATTAATTCATTGATACAGACCAAGGATTTGTATAGTAAGACTTACTATACAAATCCTTGATACAGACTGACAATGTATACATTTATATTTTTTGTTGAATAATCTTCTAATGACAGTAATGGGAAATCAAATTAATATTATAATAATGAAATAAAACAAAAATTAGTCCAAATAATTATGACGTGTGTCGTTTTGAGGGAAAGGCTATTTTGATTTTTTCTGTGATGCCTTCCTCCGACGTCACAACGATGAAGCCATTTTTTCCGTCTGGACTTTGAGAGAGAATTTTCTGTGGAACTTTGAGACCCAATTTTGCCTTGACAGCTAGAAATTCTTACCTTTTCTTTTGTGTGCTAGTTCAGTGTTCTCCCCAGGGCCAGCAATGTATAAATTTTGAGCGTGGTTCTATCGGTCTTAAAGTGGTGGTATAATTTTTGTCCGGAAACCAATCAAACCAGATTGTTTACACCAGGTGATTGATTTACCTTATGATTTTAACCTTGTTGATTGGATTTAATCGATGTAATTAACACTTGTAACAGGATTTTTTGGTGTTTTAATTGATTAAGAGATCATAGATTTATGATCACAGATAACCAGTGTTTTTGCTAGCGCTAGTCATTTTCGTCATTTACGAAACGGTTTTCAAAATGACGAAAGTATTCCAAATCAATTTCGTCACTTAAATTTAGAAAGAGTAAAAATATTTTTGCATGAAAATACTATAATTCTACCTGTCTTATTGTTTCTGACAAGTTTATGACCCTCAGCTAATTAACATTTACAACAGGTGTTATGAGTTGTGATTACAGATAATCCGCTTATCTCTATCGGATGGGTCACTAATCCGTAATTATTTATCAACCTCATAGTTGATCATCATAATTATTTTCCCCAGTAAAATCAGTCAGTCGGCATTTCATATTCAATATTTATCAAACAAGCACAATTTGCAGTTCGTTTGTCGTAGTTTCGTCATTTGAGTTTTCCCTCGGACAGTTCGCATTTTAATTTCAATATTTCCCAAACGATCACAGTTTGCAGTTCGCTTGTCGTAGTTTCGTCAAATGAATGTATTTTCGTCATATTTGATATAACTTTTAATCAAAAACTTTCGACAATTTCAATTAAAAAGATCGAACTTTATTCATAACATTCAGAAATATTTTCACGAGTCAAACAGGTGATTCCTTTACGATGAACTGCGCATGCGCGAAAGTATTCTTATGAATTTAAAGACACTAAAACGTAAAATACGAAACAATTAAGTATCAAACTAAACGAGAGAGACAAATATAGTTCTTATTTAGCAAATTTTAATTTAAAAAATGATAATTTCCTGCCTTTTTTGTAAACATGAACCAATCCGTAGATGAACCCGGATTCATTCTGAATTTATTTTCCACTTGTCACTTCCAGTTTTCACTTCATTTGGAAATCGAAAGTAAACATGATCTATTCATGATAAATTTACAATTTAAAGTCATTATAATTGTTCCAATAAGGATTTGTACAAATCCTTGGTTCCAACTTTATAGAATTAATCCTAAATATCGCTTTTAAACGTTTTTAAGGATAATGAGTATGAATAATGCAGTGAAATAGTCCTTACAAGTTCATTTATGCTGTGATTCCTGGTTTAAAAAAAATGGATCCCAACTTTTGCTGATTAGGAATGTACCCTGAAACTAACTGAAGTGAAATTGTGAACTAGATTTCTATATCGTATATCCTGATCTTCGTATTAAAGTGCCACATCAGTCAAATCATGCAGTAACTGCCTAGTATGCCTAAGTCCTTCAAAGTCTGACAAAGATGTATAGATAGTAATACACATCCTAGGTCCCTTGCTGCTACCCAAAATAAGGTTGATTTTCATCCCGCGCAAAAGTGACTAAAGCCCTCAAAATCCTAGCTTAAACCCTGCAGATAACTATTTTATAGCTTCATTCACCACCCAAGCTCTGACCTGTGACAAGTAGGCAAATACTTTGTACACAAACAGTGCCGATAGTAGTACACACGCCAGAACATTTTTTATACATAATAAATTGTTGGCTCATTACGGATAATTGACAATTATACATTTCTCAATTCTTTATGAAGCACATAGAACAAGCTTTCCTTGTCAGAAATATACAATTATCAAAATTAACGATTTCTGTTCTACATTCAACCATGGCCAAAATTATCTTTATGATAGTTATTACATAATAGTAGGGTTTCAAACTTTAGTACCTGTCAACAAGTAATTTAAAAGGGACGGACATCTGTACATATCATGACCCAGTTAATTCAAGTAGAAAATTCAAGTTTATTTACAATTAATTGCAATCTATTTTATAATAATAATAAAATGCATGACTGTACCTTCAAACTGGATATTTATATCCAAAATTAATGAATAAAAGAAACATTATCCATAAGCACATGTTAAAAATCTATTTATTGCACTTCCTGTCATTTAGGCGGGAAAATAGGGAGACTTTGTTGTTGACATTGAATATGGTTACTTATAGGTCTATAGACCTAAGATAAATAGATCTAGGAATTCTTTTTAAATGGATCATGGCAAATAAAGAATTAGATTTTAGTGCAGTATTTAGTCTGTATCTATGTTTGATTATCACTTAAGGCAAAAAAGGTTTATATTTACATGAAATTTATATTTATGGCAAAATGTTTTAAAGTTTACGAAAAATTTCTTTTTATTAAAATTTAAGATAGAAACTGGTTCAAATAATAAAACAATATTTGTTCTTGTTAATTTTATATCTCCTTATGAGAGGAATCCTTTTATATACAGAAACTTTCTATCTAGGAACTAGAAAGTTTTTTAAATTGAACATTTAAAGATATTAAAGTATACAAACTGTTTATTGATTTACTTCTTTTTTACCAATAATTTTCTGACTCAATGTCTACATAACACAGTACAACAGTATTAAAACAAAACAAAAGACATAAAAACTACAGTAACTAGAAATATAGCTAAGCGACGCAACACGACACGACACGACTGATTGTACGAATCATTTCACCAAGCTATCTGCACGTGTTACCCTGGTGCTATCCAAAAATCCTATTCTATACACTTCAATAGTGTACAATTTATGTACATTCCATTCATGTCAGTATACAAGTATAGAATGCCCATTTTCAGTCTTAGTCTTACAAAATTGATCTGTTGTTGCACAGGTAAACAGTCATCCAAGACACAAATTAGGAAATTTTATAGGATGCTCATACTTTAATAAACGTTTCAATCATTAATTAAAGATAATTTTTCAAGTGGAAAAGATGTTTCTGTTTAAAATGAGAATCTATTGATGTTAGCATATGTCATGTATGTTGGGAATATAAATAAGGAACAACTTTTTTCTGTTGGAGATTGTTATGAATAAATGTGGGGGAGTGTCTGGATGGCAGGGTAAATCAGGAAAATTGACAGTTGGATAAATGCCTTTCTAATTTCTTAAAATATGAATTTAAGAATCAATAAAAAGTCTTCCATTAAAATATGTACCTCTGAGTTTTTCAATATTTCAGCTAATGTATACATGTTTATCCTTCATGACTTCCTTAATGATATAACATGCATAAAGTGTTTCTGCTAATAGAGGGATGTCTAGAGTTCTAATATACCTATTCAGGTAGCATGTCAAATGGCTGCATACATTTACATTTCTTCTTCTTTCTTTACTGTGCTGGGCTCATCTGGAGCATTATCATACATTACATTTAGCCTTGTTTATTATTTCGACATGCAGGTAGTTACAATATGTCAAAAGATGATGTTTTGGTAAAACAATTGATTGGTTTTAATACAGTACAATTTTTAGTCATATGGTTTGGCATTTTAGCATCGTTAATCTGTTAAAATTTGAAGAAAATGTAAGTATGAACCAAAAGAGATGTGGTTGTTGGTTAATAAGACAGTAACACTTAATATGTGTATCAAGAGGACAATATTCAGAGTTTGGTGCTTGATAGTTCACTAAACATTTGGACTTGACTGGTCACTAGTCCAAACAAAATTTTTATTGTACATGTACAATCAATAATTATATAAATGTGACTGCATTTTGTAAATGTTAACAGTTTACCTGTTGCTTCAAATGTATATGTGACAGAGTGTTTATACATGTAGATAAAGCATTATCATATTGTATTACATAACTAAAAATACTTTATCAGCTCCGTAGTCCAGTACAAATATCATTTCTCTCAGCATTTTTAGATATAATTAAGTATTGTATTGTATTGCCTTCATAGTATTGTCTCTTTTACAAAAATTGGGAATTTTGTTAAAAAAGGTGTAATTATTACATTTTGTGTGAAGTAGCTAGATAATATATTGGAACAACATATATGGGAAATTTTTTTTAATTACATTGCACTACTTTTACTGTGACTTATTAACATGACCAGATAAGAAACATGACAAACATCTTTTAATTGATATTTACAAGAATGCAAAGTATAGGTACAATGTAGCTTTGATGAAAATTACTTTAAAGTTAAAATTTTGTGCAACTTGTCCATCAACTAAAAGGTCTTTAAGGATGAGCACCTAGTACATACATAATGTTTATTTTTGTTGTCCATTTGACAGATCTTTAATCTAAATACTAAGTTAAAACTTTTGTTTTATTTCAGCACAATGACTAAGAACCATTTCACTATTCTTGGTCTCAAACCTGGTGTTACAGATGACGATGTGAAAAAAGCATACAGGACACTAGCTAAAAAATACCATCCGGACAAAAATAAATCTCATGATGCTGAAGAAAAGTTTAAGGAAATTGGAGCTGCATATGAAGTGTTAAAAGCTAAAGACAGACGAGAAATTCATGAACGAGAACTCAACAGACCAAAGGAAGCATTTGTTAGAACTGAATTTAGAACACCTGGTGGTAGAACTCAAGAACACAATTATAGAGCTAAGGAAGAATTTAATCAAAGACGTAGATCTGAACCCCCACCTAGGTTTAAATTTGATGAAGATCCTTTTACTGGACCTTATTCACAATACAGAAATTCAAAAGGATTTAAAGAAAAAGATTATTTCGATCATTCCAAACAAAAACAACAGCGGCCTGCAGGAAAAAAGAGACCTCAGGAAAAACCAAAATGGAATAATAACTGGACTGAAGAAGAGGAAATGAGTTTCCATGACTATGGTGATAAATCCTCCTTTTCTTTTGCATTTAAGTCTTTCATGGATGACATGGACTTTTCAATGTCTTTCACAATGGGTGGTGATATGTTTGGAGAAGAGACTCCTTTTACAAATTTTAATGGTCATGGTAAGTTCAAGTAAACAATAATAGAATTTACAGATACATTGTACTTTATTTTTTCTTTATTTTTTTATTATTTTAAAATGTTTTGAACATCAATACAGAATACACCAAGCTTGATTACACATGTACAGTTTCAAGTATGGTCTTTAAGATATTTCCTTTAAAGTCTATTCTATTACATCAACTCTAAATTTGCAAAAAATAAAGTATGATATAACTATAACTTTTTTCTTTAGCTACCGGTATGTTTTTTATTTATTGATATTCTGTCCATCCTTTATTTGATCTGTCTGTTATGTATCATGTTTAAGTTTTTAGTCGAGGTAGTTTACCATGAATTTATGGTCATATCAATATGAAACTTAACATGGAAATGTGATAGTGTGAGCTGGGCATGGTGTCCTGGGGAGACACATTATTGTTAATTCTGCTGCAAAGTAGACAAAACAAATTCCTGGGTTGGCTTGTAAGGCTGAAAAATATAAACACACATACATGTAACTTTTATTTGAAAGACATCATAGTACACAGCCACTGCTAAATAAAAAGATCCATATTTTTTGTTAAGGTGATTTGGCATCAATGGGGTATATGCCAATGAGACAGTAACCCAAAAAAGCAATACAGAAATGAACTCGCACAATCTTTAGTATCTGTCTTAATTGTTATTGACATTGAATTCAATTAATTGATGTTCTGATGTTTTATCATTTTCAAAAGCTGTTTACATATAATTTAAACAAAACATGACAATCTCAATTTGAACATGATGTTATCCTATTTGTAGGTCCTGGCCCGAAGAAACCACATGCAGCATATCGGCATCACAAAAATAATGTGGCTGGTGAACATGGTTATAAAGGGGGTCTTAGCGAGGACTACTTGTTCTCACCACGGTCAGGAATGGATTCATCAGAATCAGAATCTGAGGACTCGGATGACTCAGGTTTGTTAATGACCATACAATGACTGTTGAGTTTGAATTCTAATGAATTCTATGTAAATGTTTGTTTTTGTGATGTTTATGTTCAATGTTTTGCTTATACATACAAATTAACTGTCAAATGTACTTTTTTTTGCTGGGAGATTTTCCTTTCCGATCTATGCGACTTGAACTTAGTGTATTGTTTAATTGCTACATTTAAGTTAGCATTACATACATATACCCCTTTGGTATTGAGATAATGATAGTATTTCTATAAACAGGTAATTACTTAATAGATACATGGTTATTTGATTTTAATTGTATTCCTCCCTTTGGATCTTTAATAGCCTGTTATTTACTAGATGAACATTATGGAACACACATGATGGTCCAATTAAATGTAATACACAAGTGGATTATAACATAGTAAAGACTGTAGGAAAGTATTAAAAAAAATCATCTCTCTCCTTCAAATGAATTGACAAAATGATTGAAAATATTTTTCTTATAAAAAATTGATACTTTTGAAAAACAGCACTAGTTACTGTTTTTTATCTTAAGATTTTAAGTCATTTTGTCATAAATAAATCACAGCATATTGTCTTGCAATATATGTTGTATGAATCAACAATATTGGATGTTAATTTTAAACACCTCTGCCTCATGGAAGGGTCAAGTGAGATTTTCAATTTAATGCATGCATGACCAGAACATTTAGGTGTAAATTAAAAAGCATAGACTAGATGGTTCTAAGTCTGAATTAGTTTTCTGGGTAGGCTGATGTGGGTATATAAGTATCAACAAGCCCTAAAATATGCATGTGGCTATAAAGTATTTACCATGTCCCTCTGTACATGTATATATATATATATTGTCCAACAATTATAATTGGTTACACAATCTCAGGTACTACTGAACAGAATGACTTCATATTTGATCAGCAGCTTGAAAGTGATGGGTTGTAATGTGTTAGTGTTTTGGATCTGTCAGCCTGTTACTTCCTGTTTGCCAATACTAGGATTTTTCAAGTAGTAAATGAAATTAATCATGTTGATTTTTTGTCAAACATTTCTCCAGTATTACTGTTCAAACAGAATCACTTCATATTTGGTCAGCAGTTTGAAAGTGATAAGTTATAATGTGTGAGTGTTTTGCAGATTTGTCACACATGTAATTCCTATTTTCCAATATTTTGAATTATGAGTGAGGGGAGGCTCTCTTAGTATGACAACATGATCAACTTTATTTTCTAATGCAAGAAAAATTACATAACATTCATTACTCTTCGGTAATATTTTTGTCATTGATGGGATACAGTTTCCCGTCCTTTATACAAGTACATGTAGTAGCCTATCCTCTACTATAGTATATTTCTCTGGACTAACCTTGCAATTGCGCCAAAATTCAGGTTGGTCTGAAAAACATGTAAATAAACTGAATGTGAAACTCCACGGCAACTCTTCCGGTGAAAACAATGCTTGATTCCACCCTTGAAATCGTCTAGGATAATGTTGAGTTTGAAAATATTCGACCAAAAACCACTACCTTTATTACATGACGGCGACTTTAGAATGTTTTTTTTTGTTCACTTTATAAAATTTGTTTATCCATTTGTGTTATGATAAAAAGAATATTTTGTCATTATAGATTTTGACTACTCTGATATGAAGTTTTCATGTGCTTTCTGTGGAAAAAGATTAAAACTTGAAGATTTGGTAAGTTTTATAAGCTGCAACGCATTTCTTTATCATGTCTGTTGACTGGTTGAAAACTGCTGTCTCCACAAATCTTTGTTCAACAAAAACATGATAAATATGAAAAGTAAATCTTATGTCAGTTAAATTACAGCATGCATTTCATCCAAGGTTTCTCAATCTACAAGCAACTAATAAACGCAACTAAAGCTGGTTCATGGTGCTTATGATTTTGAAAACAAGGCAAATCTTTGCATACATTTTCTTTTCCTTCCCCTCTTTTGATCAGTATACTTATAGCTATTTTCATTTTATTTAAATGAGATCTCACAACTGTGTAAATAAACTATTTTATTTATTTAAAACCTTTGACTGAAAGCAATGATATCAATAAAGTCAAATTAAGGTATAGACTTGAACTATATCTACTGTGAGACACAAATCATATTTATAAATGCCTCTTGATATTCAAATGATACTAAATCATTAGGAAGTACTTTATATCAAGATTCTATTCCCAATTCAATAATTGGGTAAAGCTTAAATATATGTATTATACAAGAAGATGGATGTACACAACAAAATGACAATTACCACTACTGAAATGATTGACATATTCTAGATCCATGTAACAGCTGATTTAACTTTTCCTTTTATTGCTTTTTTCAGAAAACACATGAGCCAGCTTGTGGTCATAGGAAAAAGACAAATATTAACATAGATAGTGATGACGAAGAACATCGGAATGGATATAGAAAAATGTTCCAAGACAAAAGTGGAGACTGGAGACGGGACCATGAAAAATTCCAGGAATACGTCAAGAGAGCAAAAAGGGCATACCGAATAAATAAATCCAGAGATGGCTGTAGAATGGAATGTAAATAACTCTAAAATATTTTTTATTTTAAGCAAAAAATTAGAAACAAAAGAGCAAAGAAATATTTATTTAATTAGAATCTGAGATGTTTCTGAAAAAAACAAAGACAGTAAATATTTTTATTATTATGTAGAATTTTAATCAGATTTGTATATTATTTATAGTTATTAGATATTTCTTGGGTACAAATATCAGTACTGTATTTGATGAAATAATGATGTTTTTTTCAAAGATGTGAAAAGTGCTTTCTTATTTTGTCTTTCAGCTCAAAAATTGTTATGTAGTTTATGTGGTAAAGTAATAGAAAAAGGAGAGGCAAGGACACATTCATTGTTTTGTCATACAAAAGCTGATCCCCACTTTGGACCTCCACCAACAACAAATGAGGATCCACCCATGAAAGACAGTAAATATAAACGAGCAAAAGAGGTAAGTAAAAGTTCAATGGTTACAAGTAATGGCGAATAGATAATATGTGATCATTCTTGATCAAACAAATCAAATTAGGTTTTTCTGTAAGAAAATCAGTCACAAGAATAATCTAATCTTTCATTAGGACCTACAAAAATCAGTAACAAGAATAATCGAATCTTGGATTAGGACCTACAAAAATCAGTAACAAGAATAATCGAATCTTGGATTAGGACCTACAAAAATCAGTAACAAGAATAATTGAATCTTGGATAAGACCTACAAAAATCAGTTACAAGAATAATCAAATCTTGCATTAGGACCTACAAAAATCAGAAGTTTTAAAAGTTACAAAAGTTATGATATCATAATAATATCATTGATAGTATCATAAGTTATTTAAAGTCTATCTATGCTCCTCTAGACCATTACTACTGTGGATTCAATCATTTTCATGTGAACCAATTTTCATGGGTTGAGGAAAAATAGTGTTTCAAGGATATTTGATTTTGTGAATTTGCCCAAGTAGGCTTACAAGCCTAAAGAAAACTGTTACTTTATAGGACATTTATATTCATGGTTTACATTTACAGAAGAAGTTCATAATTGCACTGTTATTAGTAGTCCCTGTAATTGCGCCTTTTTAATAACTTCAGGGTATCAATCATATAAGCACAGAGGAGAATAATAGGAATTTTTGCAGTATATAAAAAAGCATGAAAGATCCCCTTTATTAATTAGTTAAATGATATGGCGCTGAATCTAGGTCAAAACTCTTATTTACTTTTACAAATAATTTGATTTACATATATACAAAAATAATTATGTATATACGTAAATTGAATTACGTATATACAGAAATAATTCCATGATTATTTCTGTATATAGGTATTTATATAATATATACATTTAATATTATTTCTGTATATATGTTATTCAATTACAAATAAAGTATATACATAAATTGAATTACATATATACATAAATACGTAAATACAAATTTTTGATAAATCAAAATACATTTTTAAACTTTGACCACACATGTAAGATTTTTATGTACTGTAATAAATTTATGATATCAACTGACAATATGTATTATTGTTTTTCAGTATCAACAGACAACATGTATTATTGTTTTTCAGTATCAACAGACAACATGTATTTTTGTTTTTCAGTATCAACTGACAACAAGTATTATTGTTTTTCAGTATCAACAAACAACATGTATTATTGTTTTTCAGTATCAACAGACAACATGTATTATTGTTTTTCAGTATCAACTGATGACAAGTATTATTGTTTTTCAGTATCAATAGACAACATGTATTATTGTTTTTCAGTATGCAAAAAAGAAGGTGCCAAAATTTAAGAAAAGTTTCTCTGCAGATGATCCACAACAGCAACATTCATTTACAGAACCTAAAACAAAAGGAAGGGACACAATGGGTAAGTAATAAAAACAATAAATCATGTCACATGCTCGTAACCCGAAAATATATCTGTGTAAGGATAGTTTTCATTTTTATGTGTATTCATTTCCATTTCTATATAGTGAATGAAACAAAAGGAATAGTTACAATTCAGAATTAGGCCAAAAAGTACAAAATAAAAAAGTCTCATTAATGTTCCAAATTCAACACATACATGGATATTTATATTTTATTGTCAGTAAAAAAAGACAACAGAAATTTTGATTGATTTAGTTATATCTTAGAACCAGATGGTTTATTTGTTTAAATTGCTCAAAGATTGGGTATAAAGTATTTTAAGTAACTGCTGTGTCCATTAGATTGTCTGTTTGTTCGCCCTTACTCACTTTTACAAATTGGGATGGGCTTCTTGTATGATAGTTGAATCTGCAACTTCTTCTAAATCATTGACTGGATTTTAAGGAAACTAGCAGTCTTTCTTACCTTAAACCATTATGCACCACCCTTCTTTTTTTTTTTTTATATCTAGATGATTTAAAAGTTTCACATAGCAACACATAGACTTATACCATACCTATGCAAATTGGGCAACTAGAAAATTAGTGAGCTCTGCTTACATTTTTTAGTTAATGGTTAGATCAAGTGATTCATTGACAAAGTTGTATATTTTTTAGATGAACCAATGACTAGCAGTGGTACAGGTTTAAATCCTTCTCCAAAGTCAAAATTTGGTAAAACAAAAAGGGCTCCTGCACCACCTCCTCCAAAACCTTGCCCATCAGGACCCACGGTGGGACCAGCTCCGACCACTACCTCATCAAGGACAGAAGAACCAACAAAAACAAAGCTAGGTCATAGGGCAAGTTGTCCACCAGCACCACAAAGTAATCCAACATCAAGTCCAGCACAAGACAGCCCCCCTGTTAGACCTTCATCGCAGCTATCGAGGTAAGTAGTACTCAGTAGATAGTCTTTATAGTACATATAATATGATGAGAAATGTGCAGGTCATTAATTAGTGTAAACTATGACAAAAGTTCAACTTATACATTGAAAAGATATTGAGGGAAATTATGATAGAACTACTATAAAAAAAAAATCTACTGTCCAATTATTTGGTTTGTCTGACTAGTCCTGTCATTTTGGGGATGGAAGAAAATACTGAATAATAGAATTACGATGAAATAATTTTGATTAAATTTTTTTTTTTAACAAACAATCATGAAATACATTTCTTAATTTGACATTAAATCATTCAAATTAAGAAACAAGACTTCGGTCAATAGATTGATTTAGAAGAAGTACCCAGAAATTTTGCATTTTGTCCTTGTAATTACATTTGTGACAGTGTGTTTCAGTAAAAAAATCTTTTTTCAATGTATAATATAAAGAGAACAACAGCCATATTAAGAGAACCAACTTGTCTGTAAACATATTTATTTGAATTAAATAGTTTTAAGGATTCTTTTAAAACTTCATCATCATCATATTTCACAAAATTACACAACTAACAACCCACATAGGCAATCACCTCTTGGCAGAGGGTGCTTTTTACACTTTTAATATACAACACCTACTGCCTCGACAAAATCTAGTTCGGTGTACCTGATTAATTTCTTAATTTAAAGCACGATTTATTAGTATGTATCTGTTTATAAAACTTCTGATAATGGAAAATATACAGTACATGTAGTGCTAGTTTGAACATGGAGGGAAATTCAAAATTGCTGCTGCTCAGGATAATTTGACCATAGAAATTTTATTAATATTGTTTTTTATTGATCGTTTTTCAGAATTTGTTAATTTATCTTAAATTCTTTGAACAAAACCCAAAAAAAAAAAGATTGAATTACCGTAGATTCATTATTATTTGTGGGATTCCAATTTTTTTGGATTTCTTGGTAAAGGGTCATCCACAAATTTAAATGTTCAACAAAGTACAAATTTTCTATATGCTTGTATGCATCTTTCACCACGAAAATAAATATCCACAAAAATTAAAATCTTTCCTAACTTCACAAAAATAGGTATTCACAAAATTAAATGAATCCACAGTATGTGAAAGATGAAAATAGATTTGGAAAGCAGTAATATTTAGATAAACATTTCAAAGCTGAATGTTCAGAATTGAATTTTCAAACCATTCAGGTTCAAATATACATAATTTAACTGTATATATATAGTTTGATATATAGTCTTCTTGATGTTTTTACCATTGAATGTATGCTAGAAAATTTGCTTTTTGTATAGTAGATGGCTGTCAGATTGCAGTCTTTTATATCAGAGTGTCACAGTTGCTTTGAATAATGCTTGTCTTGTAGTGATTGTTAGTTTTCTTATTTCATTACAGAAATCCTATTTTAGGATTATTCAGAAGAATATTCAGGAGGAGAAAAAAAGCTCCTACTTTATTAAGTAGAAGAAAGAAAGCAGAATACACAAAATTACAAAATATTTGTTCATTTTTCAAGAAGTCAAACAGAACAAAACAAATGCCATCACACACAAGAATCTTTACGAAAAGAAAAATTGTACCAAAAACTTATCAGTCAATTAATACTGTTAAAGAAAATTCACATGTTTTTAAAATATACAAAAAGAGAAGAATAGTTCCTACTAAATATCAAGTTAAACCGAAAGGAAATATATGGAATGACGATCCAAAGAAAGAAAACGCCAGAATTTTTAGAGTTGTTAAAACTTCTTGGTAAAATAAAAAAAAACATTATATGTAAACACCTAATGTTTAAATTATAGTATAACAGATATTTGTTAAATCTCTTTGGTTGCCTGGGCTAATGAGGTCTATTGTTAACAGGCTATATTAAACAAAAATAAAATGAGAATTTGGAAGGAAAGGGATTGTTGAACTTTTTCAGAAAAGAAGATGTTCCAGTGAAAGTTGGAACTTACCAATTAGTCAGAACTCGCTACGTAGTAGCAACAAAACCTCCCATTTATTCTGAATCAGACACAAGTTCTGAAGAAGAAAGTGATTCTGATTCAGATAATGATCAGCAGGTAAAGTTGTTGTAGAATTTGGTGATAGCACTAATAGTATTATATAGCTTTAGTCATACACATTAACAATTCCCCCGTTTAGAAAACATAAAAATAAAGTTTCATTTCCACTTGAAAAATATTAAATTGTGTTGAATTACATTCATCAAACAAGTTAAAATTGCTGATCGATCAAATTCAATCATTATCCGTCCCTTACTGAGAATATTGAAAACCAAATGACTCCATAAATAGCCTTATTGAACCATTAAATATCTTTGTTTTGATTTCTTAGGACATTCAGTTCTCATCTTAATAGGTATTGTTGGAGTATTCTACATCTGTGTTCTTGACCACATACATATACACATTCTTGAACCCCTATTTCAGAAACAAGGAATTGATCACCTAAATTTTGCATTTATGTGTTATATCTTAAAACAAACATAGGTCAATTTGACATATATTCATTTGATTGATTTTGATGTAATATTTCAATTCATATGTGAGAAATGGTTGTTTGATCATCTAAAGTTAAATTCAAATGCATCTTAATGAGCAGATAAGCATCCAGTTGCAAGTTTGAAATTCTTTTTTCACACCACTGACTGGTTGTTGAAGGGTACTATGAGATAATTTAAGTGTGTTGATGAAAATCCATCAAAGGGCAGGTCACTTTGACCGACTTTTTATGTTCTACTGACTTTTTGTTAAGTTTACATCAGAGTTCACATTTTTGGTACAATTAGATGTAGAATAGTTTTATACTCCATTGATTTGTGCTTTGATGTTAAGTCATTATTTAGTTATGTCATTCTTCATTGACTTTGTTGTGATGAGAAGGTTTCATTCATTGAATGATAGTTGGAGATACATGTACATCCAATGCAGTTTATGAACTTTTTTTTTTATCTAAGCAGTGGTACAACAAGGTAAACTTTGTAATCAGTATTAACTATAATGATAAATCAAATTAAGATTAATTAATTTCTAAAGTTCTCAACCATGTAAAACATCTTATTTAAAGTTATATTTTGATAATATGAATTCTGCAATTCACAAAAATTTGTTCAAGAGTTGGCATGTCACATGACTATTACATGACCTATGTGAACTTACAACTTGACAACTTTTAAAAAGTCTAATGCTAAATCCTGCTTTCATTAACTTTATATACACTGTCCATCATTTATCACATAACTTACGATACTACATAAATATAATCACTCTCACATTACACAATAAGACCATCAAAGATTAACCAGTAAAATATGTATAACATGCATGATCATATGAATCATACTTTGTATATATTCCTGTAATCAACACAACATATAGTTGCTCTAAAGTCTAAAATGAATAAAAATAAACAATAAAAAAAAATTCCCAATTATAAGGTGTACAACAACTAATCTTGAAGCCATTTCTACCACCTTCATTTCATTAAACAGAATGAAAGTGAGGAAAGAGTGAAATGTTTTGAAAACTATTTAAGATATCATATTTGCCACTGGAGATTAAACACCAATCAATCATCATCATCAAAAGTGGGATTCACTTGGGCATTCCTATACTGTTTAGTTTCCCACTGGAGGTTAAACACCATAGGACATCCCTATATTGTTTTAGTTTCCCACTGGAGGTTAAACACCATAGGGCATCCCTATATTGTTTTAGTTTCCCACTGGAGGTTAAATACCATAGGACACCCCTATATTGTTTTAGTTTCCCACTGGAGGTTAAACACCATAGGGCATCCCTATATTGTTTTAGTTTCCCACTGGAGGTTGAACACCATAGAACATCCCTATTTTGTTTTAGTTTCCCACTGGAGGTTAAACACCATAGGACATCCCTATATTGTTTTAGTTTCCCACTGGAGGTTAAACATCATAGGGCACACCTATATTGTTTTAGTTTCCCACTGGAGGTTAAACATCATAGGACACACTTATATTGTTTTAGTTTCCTACTGGAGGTTAAACATCATAGGACATCACTATATTGTTTTAGTTTCCCACTGGAGGTTAAACATCATAGGGCACACCTATATTGTTTTAGTTTCCCACTGGAGGTTAAACATCATAGGACACACCTATATTGTTTTAGTTTCCCACTGGAGGTTAAACATCATAGAACATCACTATATTGTTTTAGTTTCACACTGGAGGTTATACACCATAGGACATCCCTATATTGTTTTAGTTTCCCACTGGAGGTTAAACATCATAGGGCATACTTATATTGTTTTAGTTTCCCACTGGAGGTTAAACATCATAGGACATCACTATATTGTTTTAGTTTCCCACTGGAGGTTAAACACCATAGGACATCTCTATACTGTTTAGTTCCCCACTGGAGGTTAAATACCATAGGACATCCCTATATTGTTTAAGTTTCCCACTGGAGGTTAAACACCATAGGACATCACTATATTGTTTTAGTTTCCCACTGGAGGTTAAACATCATAGGACATCACTATATTGTTTTAGTTTCCCACTGGAGGTTAAACACCATAGGACATCCCTATATTGTTTAGTTTCTCACTGGAGGTTAAACACCATAGGGCATCCCTATATTGTTTTAGTTTCCCACTGGAGGTTAAACACCATAGGACATCCCTATATTGTTTTAGTTTCCCACTGGAGGTTAAACACCATAGGGCATCCCTATATTATTTAGTTTCCCACTGGAGGTTAAACACCATAGGACATCCCTATATTGTTTAGTTTCCCACTGGAGGTTAAACACCATAGGGCATCCCTATATTGTTTTAGTTTCCCACTGGAGGTTAAACACCATAGGACATCCCTATATTGTTTTAGTTTCCCACTGGAGGTTAAACACCATAGGACATCCCTATATTGTTTAAGTTTCCCCCTGGAGGTTAAACATCATAGAACATCCCTATATTGTTTTAGTTTCCCCCTGGAGGTTAAACATCATAGAACATCCCTATATTGTTTTAGTTTCTCCCTGGAGGTTTAACACCATAGGACATCCCTATATTGTTTTAGTTTCCCACTGGAGGTTAAACACCATAGGACATCCCTATATTGTTTTAGTTTCCCATTGGAGGTTTAACATCATAGGACATCCCTATATTGTTTTAGTTTCCCCCTGGAGGTTAAACATCATAGGACATTACTATATTGTTTAGTTTCCCACTGGAGGTTAAACACCATAGGACATCCCAATATTGTTTTAGTTTCCCACTGAAGGTTAAACACCATAGGACACACCTATATTGTTTTAGTTTCCCACTGGAGGTTTAACATCATAGGACATCCCTATATTGTTTTAGTTTCCCACTGGAGGTTAAACATCATAGGACACACCTATATTGTTTTAGTTTCCCACTGGAGGTTTAACACCGTAGGACATCCCTATATTGTTTTAGTTCCCCACTGGAGGTTAAACATCATAGGACATCCCTATATTGTTTTAGTTTTCCACTGGAGGTTAAACACCATAGGACATCCCTATATTGTTTTAGTTTCCCACTTGAGGTTAAACATCATAGGGCACCCCTATATTGTTTTAGTTTCCCACTGGAGGTTAAACATCATAGCACATCACTATATTGTTTAAGTTTCCCACTGGAGGTTAAACACCATGAACATCTCTATATTGTTTGAGTTTCTCACTGGAGGTTCCCACTAGAGGTTAAACACCATAGGACATCCCTATATTGTTTTAGTTTTCCACTGGAGGTTAAACACTTTAGGACATCTCTATATTGTTTTAGTTTCCCACTGAAGGTTAAACACCATAGGACATCCCTATATTGTTTTAGTTTCCCACTGGAGGTTAAACACCATAGGACATCCCTATATTGTTTTAGTTTCCCACTGGAGGTTAAACACCATAGGACATCCCTTTATTGTTTTAGTTTCCCACTGAAGGTTAAACACCATAGGACATCCCTATATTGTTTTAGTTTCCCACTGGAGGTTAAACACCATGAACATCCCAATATTGTTTTAGTTTCCCACTGGAGGTTAAACACGATAGGACATCCCTATATTGTTTTAGTTTCCCACTGGAGGTTAAACACCATAGGACATCCCTATATTGTTTTAGTTTCCCATTGGAGGTTAAACACCATGGGACATCCCTATATTGTTTTAGTTCCCCACTGGAGGTTAAACACCATAGAACATCCCTATATTGTTTTAGTTCCCCACTGGAGGTTAAACACCATAGAACATCACTATATTGTTTTAGTTCCCCGCTGGAGGTAAAACACCATAGGACATCCCTATATTGTTTTAGTTTCCCACTGGAGGTTAAACACCATGAACATCCCTATATTGTTTTAGTTCCCCACTGGAGGTTAAAGACCATAGGACATCCCTATATTGTTTTAGTTTCCCACTGGAGGTTAAACACCATGAACATCCCTATATTGTTTTAGTTCCCCACTGGAGGTTAAACACCATAGGACATCCCTATATTGTTTTAGTTTCCCACTGGAGGTTAAACGCCATAGGACATCCCTATATTGTTTTAGTTTCCCACTGGAGGTTAAACACTAATCAATAATTATCATAAAAAAGTGAGATTCTCATGGGCATCCCTATACTGTTTCTTTTGGGTTGTTCTATTCATTTTTGTTGTATTTTACCCTTTAAATGTTTCAACAAGATTATTCAGGTTCCAGATTCAGAAATCAGTTGATTTGTTGGAGATGTTCGATCAACTTCTGAGCATGCTTTTATGCATTGTTTAATTGGTATTTGTATGGAAATCTAATATGTTCATTCTGAAGAATTATAACAAAAAGTTCATCAAAACAATAAAGTTCCAGCCAAGCATACTCTCACACATGGTTCACTTACTGTACATCATGACAAATTGATAAAATTTCAATAGGTTTTGACTTCCTATAAATTCATACTAGAAGCATATCTGTTTTATATTATCACCTGCTCCATCAGCTTTCAACCCAGAGCCTGCAAACTTTTTACAAGGATTGTTTATATATTGAAAATGTGCAACACAGTTTGTGTACATATTTGGATAATTTTTCGCAGATTATCTACATGGTGAAACTTTGTCAGTTTTCAGCAGCATCTTGAAGGTGTGTTCTAATTATTTTTGAAAGATTTGTAGCCAATTTCTGTGGAAGACATTGGGTTTCCTTAGTTATGAAAATTTGTAGAAATAGTAGATATTATCTTTTCTTCCTGGCACAAATAAAATGCCTACCATGTTAAAATGAGCATTGAGCATGGCATGAAAGAATTATTTCGATTCTAATAGGAAAATCCAGAACTTTTGTACTTCAAAGCATATCTTTAAGACATGCTCAAAAGGCAGCTGTTTTCTTTGGAACAAAAACATTCTGGAAAACCAGCCAGTTAAAAAAATAACAGAGACATGTAAAGTTACTTTCAGAAGGATTTATTTAAAATCCTAGAAAGCAACACCAACAAAAATGTCCATTTCGATCCTAAGCATTATTCAAAATACAACTAACAGTGCAGTTTTAATTGTGACACCAAGCACTTGCACCCTATGTTCTATTGTAATTAGAACATGGCTTTGTTTACAAGGCAAAGAAGAGGGTCATATTAGAATTAAGATATAGATCAAAAGAATGATGTCATCTACATTTCACGGTTTAATGGGCACATTAGGGGTGTTATTACTGGAACAGGAACTGCTGCCCCTTCTGGAACACCTGCTTTAAGGTTTTTGCTGGGATTCTTGTTGCCCAATCATTTTTTTATTGGACTGTTGTTAGTCTGTCTTTTTTTTTTTGGTCATGGTGTAGTGTTAAAGAAATTTTTTCCCCTAATTTTAACTTTTGGTTGAATGTCAGGTTGAAGGTAAAAATGTAGTTTGATGTGGTATGTAACTACGTCTATAATTGCAGCAAGATAATGAACAATACAAAATGTATGTCAAAAGTATGATGTGACTTAAATTTGAGGGTCCTTTGATCACAAGTATGCTTTTGGTTGAAGTTTAGGTTGAAGGTATTTAATGTGAGAAGGTATCAATGTGAAACTTCATCCATAAAATATGTGTATATAACCAGAGCATAAGACAAAAGGAGGAGAGAGATATAGTTTTATCCCTGTCTGTTCATATGTCCATCCCAGGAAAGTTTTGTCACTTTTTTCTCAGGAACTTCAAATGAGAGCTTCCTGAAATGCGTTATCAGGCTTTATGTGGGCATGCTACACTGTGAGAGGCGTTTTTAGATTAATTGCTCATCAACTTCCTGTTTACTGAATTTCTAACAGGCAATGATCATGTATGAAAACTTATATTTTCTAACAGGCAATGACCATGTATGAAAACTTATATTTTCTAACAGGCAATGACCATGTATGAAAACTTATATCTTCTAACAGGCAATGACCGTGTATGAAAACTTATATTTTCTAAAAGGCAATGACCATGTATGAAAACTTATATTTTCTAACAGGCAATGACCATGTATGAAAACTTATATTTTCTAACAGGCAATGACCATGTATGAAATTTTCGTAGCATTTTTCCAGGGAACTACAATTAATAGCTCACTAAAATTTGTTATCAGGCTGCATTTGAACATATTTCCATATACATTGCCCTTTAACTTTTTGTTTACTGACCACTTAAAGCAAGGGTATTATAATGAGCAACACAGTTCTACTTGTTTGTCCTAAATTTATCGATCAATGATCAGGGTTAAAGTTTAGGATAAAGATAGTTAAAAATAAAGTACATCCATTTTTAACATACAACTGCAAGAATATATCCATGAATTCTACTACACAAATAAATATGTTAAAGATATTGACTTGCTTGCATGCTACACACTACTGTAAAATATCTTTGGGTCTAAAGACACATTCGGGTACTGTAGATTCAGAAGTTTTTACGAAGTTTTTATTAAAGCGAAATTTGCAATGCAAAAGGTTTCACAAAAATAAAAACTTGCATTTTGAATATTGAAAGTTTTTTTCCATGCAGCATTTTCTGATATCAATCAATTGTATTAATACATGCATGGAAAAAAATTCTGAATAAAAAGTAATTTTGCTTTCTAGTGTTTTTTGAAAACACTTGAGGCCTTAGATATTTATTCACAACACAATGTCGTCATGAATATGCATGAAATATTTGCCACTGGACATTAAGCAAGCAAAAATCATCAATCACAAAAAAAATTGCATAATGCCAAAAAATATATATAAATTAAACCAGTTTAAAATATTGAACAGAGTCATGATTCTGCTACATGCTTATTTCATCCAAAATAGATTTAAAGCAAAATTACTACAGGTAAATCATTTAAAACCATAAAAATATGAACCTTGCATCTTAAGTAAATACAGATAAGGCTAGTTTGCAGATCTGCAATATCTTTTTTACTTCTAGAATTAATGATTAAGCTTTATAAACTGTTGTGTAAAAACTAACAAAATTATGAACAACTTAACATGGGTAATAGCTACCTGCTCTAGAGAAAAAATAATTTATGTTTTAAAGTTTGCAGAATATTGTCCATTTCGACATTGATATGAATACATGAAATCTATTATGACCTTTGAATTGTAAAATTATGTAAAAGTAATGGCAGATTTTAATGTTTTATTGGAAGACTAGAAGATTGAATTATTTGCAAAAATTACAATTTTACAAAAACTATTAGGTTTTTGAATTTACCAAAATCATTACACAAGTCAAGATGTAAATACAGAAATTCCTAACAATTGAATAAACAGTACACATAACTCAAGATGCTAGACTTACAAAATTGTACTTTTGTAAAAAGAAATTTTAAATTAAAAAAAAAGTTTTGATACTCTTTTGAATCACAGTTTTAATGCATGCAAAAAAAAAAGTTGTTCATTTCTTCTGAGTTTTATGTAAGCTTGAGAATTTCTGTGATGAAAATGAAGGTTGAATTTTATTCTAGCTAGATATACACAATATTTCACATAACAATTAACTGAACAATTTTAATTTTAGTAATGCAGCTTGCTGGATGTCCTAAAATTATTTTTTACTTGTTTTTTTAGCTAGTCCCAAGATCTAGACTTGTTTATGTTGTCCAGGTAACAGCAGATTCCTATAGTTAGCTCCCCTTTGCACGTTTTTCACTGCTTATTATTTTGTCATTAATGTGTACAAGCAGGCGTTTGACTTAACATGACATTTCTTTATGTTTCAGGAAATTAAGTTTCCAAAGTTCAGCAAATTTTGGAAATTGTAATTCAAGTTTATTTTGTTGTTTTCCCTTTCATATGAATTCCCATAAATACCAGTTTCATGTTATGTGTAGAAGTCTGCTTGTACAAGTTATCACTTGAATTATTTAACAATACCATTTGTATATAATTAACTTTCAAAAATCAATCGAAATATATGGTAAGTGTAGAAGATTTGATTTTATTATATGTGTAAAGAGTAAATTCAGAACTAATGCATTTTTTTAATGAATATGAAAAATGTGAAAGAACGAGTATATTGAAAGGATATTATTTTTTTGTAATAATTCCACATTTCTGCAATAAAATTAATAAAGCTTGTCATTGATTTTATAAATTTTTTGGATTATTATTTTGGGGGTACCAATGGTATTGTTAACTCAGAATATACACAATGTGGACATAAAGGTAATCAATGTAGTGTGGCTTTAACTGTATATTGGATGGTGCTTTTTCTGTTTGGCCTACCTTGGTATAAATAGACAAAACAATATGAAAGATGAACTATTAATGGTAAAAGTTTTATTCTTTGGATTTATAATAAACTAATATTTGGTTGATCTTTAAGGGAGATGTAACTACTTTTGGAGAAGGTACAAGTTTAGGCCAAAATGTTAAATATGCCTTCAATTTTGAAAAAAAAAACAAATGTTGTTTCTAGTATGTACTTCAGTAAAATATATTTATTTTTGAAACAAATCTTTAGCTACACAGCCGTAAAATGACATTAAAATTTGTTTTTCAATTTTTCTTTCACAGCAATAATTTATACTTCTTAGGACCCCTTCAGATAATGAAAATTATTCAAAAAATGATGTTTTACAAAATTTCATTTTTTTGGGGGGTGATTTTTCAGGGTTGCATAAGTCCCAAAATGTGCTTTTTTCTTTGAGGTTAAATTTTTTTAAAGGTGAGTAAGGTCTTTGGTTTAAACTAATATATAATGAATTACACTGTTGTTTTATTTTATAACACAAATTCTGAGTTACACTTAGCAAAGAAACACAGATTTTATTGCAGTTTTTCATTTCAAAGCCCCTTGATGTGTTTTTGAGATGAAGAACAGCAATAAAAGCCATGTTCCTTAGCTTTGGGTTTTCTATGGTGTATTTTTACCTTAGGCATTTAAAATGGAACAAAAGTTCACTGCTCGCTACAATTTCAAGACAACCCCTGATTTAAGCAGAATTTTATGCTATTCAGAAAGAGCAAAATCTTTATATACAGAATTACTGCTAACCTTTATGTTCATATTGTTCTAAAAGTCAAGTTTACATGGTTTATTTATTAATATTGTCCCTTATGTTGTGGGGAAACACACTTTGCACACATGCACAGCAATCATTCATTTTAAATCATTTGTAAATTTATGTTTTTTTTATTATTGTTATATAGGTAAGTTACAAATAGACAAGTCAGTATAATAGTACAATGTAATTGGCTAAACAGTAGCAAAGATAGTGAAAAGTTGATAAGCATTTTAAATAATTATCAGAAAAAATAAGATGTTACAGTTACATGTATAAAAATGTTGAAAGACATTGCTTAATGCAGTATATATTCTAATTTTATCGTGTCTATGGCATTTCATAAATTGATTGTGCTACTCTAGGCTTTAACAGAGAGAATTTCCTGTTTTTTCCTTTACAGTGAATTCATTAATTTTTTTGTAGATACCAATTTTTCGTGGATTGAGCAAAACATATATTTGTGTTGTTTCTTTTTCATTGGTTGGCCAAAATCTGCTTATAAGACTGCCTGTAAAGAAAATGTGTACTTTGTTGAACATTTAAATCCTGGTTTTCCTTTACCCATGAAATCCACGAAAATTGGTATCCAACAAATAATAATGAGTCCATAGTTTATACTTTTCACTGTCTGTCTTTCTATCCTTTGAAGTGTCTATCGTCTCCTCCACTTTATTTCTTTTCTTTTTCTGTCTTTCACTATAGATCTAACTGTATTATCCAAGCTTTTGCTGAATGGAAAAGATCCAAGTTATTCTTCAGGAGAAATGGAAAGGGTAGGCCTTGATGCAACAGTCATTAAAAAGTTTGTTCTGCGTGACACTATTTAATTATGCATATATGAATTCATGATATTTAAGTTTTAACATCCATTTTTTATTTAATTATGGTACTCTTCAATATTTTTGATAGTATTTGTGTGTACATTTACCCCATTTTCCTTCTTTTTACACCATGAAGTATGTGGTTCAGTAAAACCACAAATATTAAACCTATGAAATACAAACTTCCCATTGATCTTACCTGCTTCAAGTAGTAAACCTGAATTAAAAAAAAAAATGTCTTGTATTTTTTGTACTTAAACTGAAAGATTATCCACAGAATTCAAATTAAGTACATGTAGTGGTTTTAAACTGTATTTATTTTTATTTCAGCCCCGGGTTGTTGTTCGACCACGACCAACCAGCGAACAACTTTACCCCCAGAACATCAAAGTCAGAGTACCAGTCCAGAACCCCAAAAATGGACGACAGCAAGAACAGCCGAAGATCCCAGAAAAGCCAAAAAAATCAAAATCATTCAGAATCGGAAAGAAGTGATCATTTTCCTGACATAAATGACACTTATTCAGGTTTTAGTGGTCATAATTGTACTCCTAGAGTGTTTCTGAAAAAAACTACGGTCAAAATTTAGACCACACTTGGTGCATAATGTGAATGACTGCCAGTCAGATTGTTGAAGTTTATTTATTAATATTATTGTTATTAAGGCCACATTTTACGAGGTCTTATTGTTGTTAGCTATATTCCTGGTTGTTTTAGCATGGTTGTATATCATATATAACATTTTGTGGGTTGTTACAATTACTATTGACTAGCATCAATTCATACTGTATGGTGAAGAAGGATAACCAGTAAAGTCAAATGATCTCTTACTTTGATTAAGACCTGTAGATATAAGTAGGTCACTGACAACATCACATATCTAGTTTACAGGTAAAAAATACCTGTGGAAGACTAATAAAATCTTATTTGGAAGTTTCAGAATGTAACAATGGAATCATATCCTAGTTTTATTTGATCCGTAGAATGGAACTAATATCAGCAGACTCCTGTGGTTTTAAACTTTCTTCATAGAAATGCTGCAATAATTTCAACAAATTTTACTGAAAAAATCATTGACAGGACAGTCTTGATATCTAGAGATATCTTGGAATCTTCTACATCTTTTTTATAAATAAAAATTCAAGACTGGATAATCACATGTATGTTAGTAAGTAAAGTGTTAACATTCAATCACTGTTTATAGTAATAGATCTAGTCACATTAATTTTGTAAACACATCATTGCAATGCCATTGCATACCGACCGGTACTTAAATAAATATGTAACAGTTGTATAGTGTAACAGATGAATGTGTTTGGTCCCTTTTCTGTCTATTGTCATGCCAGTGATCGAGAAAGGACGTGAAACACTAAGTATAAAGGTATGATGAATAGTTGTTTAAATGTTTTCAAAAAGAAACTTTTGTTCTGCTTTTTATCCATGTATTATTTTCTTGAATAGTTGTACAACATTGTGTAGTCTAATTTATGATGAATATTGAAAGGGGCATGACTTCATAGTAACTTTTTTAGCTTTTGTGGTTTATGTGTGAGAAATTAATGTTAAGGTTATGATAAGTTAAGCATTGATGATAGTATACACTTGCATGAGCATCGATGCATCTCATTTACAAACAGTTTATTAGGATCTTTTCCCATAGTCATTATAGAACTTGAATTATGACAATGTCAGATGTTATGTTTTATTTATAAGAGGCATATATGATAGACCCTTTATATTAGGAATGTTCGGATTTTAGATTATCCATGCATTCCATATCATTAAAATACATTAATATATTTCTAAAATATTCCTATGGCAACTGTTTGAAAGCTGCTATTTCATGAACTAAAAATGATAACTGTCCTAGAATGCAATATTTAATTCAGCATATACATATTTAGGTTGTGTTTTTTACCACCCTGCTCATAAAACCCATGAAGCCAATTTAGCTTATTGCTATACTGTCCATAGATTTTAACGACACTTTCTGGTTATCGTATTTCGTACATAGTTGAAGGTGATTCTAGTCAATGTTAACTGTAAATATGTATATAAAATAGAGAGAGAGAGAGTTAAATTATTTGTTGAGAGATGGAGATATCAAGATAGTTGAAAATGTTAAAAGTGTGAAATAGAACACTGTTAAAGGAAATTAGGATAGTAGAAAAAGATATTTATTTTTAATATGATTAAATTTGGAAATTTATACACAAACTTAATAGTCTTGAATCTCTGACAATTTGATAAATTTATAAGGGAGGGTGTTCCAGAAAACAATTTTAAGTTATTATTTCAGCACATCTGTGAAACTCCTGTGTGCTTGTATGAAAAACGTGACATGAATCTTACTTGAAGAAAAAAATTAGAAGTGTGCTATATAATAGCTAGAAAGTATTACCTTTGTGCTAGGTGATCTTTATTGTATGAAAAGTGTGAGGCATTGCTATAAATGATTTAATTGGACACATCTGGATGCCTCACTATAGATGGTTTTAGCTCAGACTAAATTCCTAAGATGATACATGTATTTTATATTAGAGTGATGGATATAAACTTCAAAGAATATTGTGTGTGTGGTTAATCAGTTCGAACTAAGAGTGAAATAGAGTGTTTGAGGTGATTCAGCATAATGAGACATATGGTGGTTTCTGTATGAATTTGAGTTAATTTTAATTTCTAATGAGAATGATTGTGTCAGTGATAACACCATTGTAAACAGATATAACATCTGTGTGTTCTTATAGTTTTATAGTTTGAAGAAATCCTTTTAAAACAAGAAAATACATATTTCTATGCAGTTGAATTGTGACCATTTGTTGGAGTATATTTTATAAAGATGCAAAGATACTGAAGAAGCTTCATATTAGATATTTTTAGCCTAGTATTTATTTTATATTTATAGTACAAGATGTACATGTATATATTTTTGAAACAGGAATTCGATCATAGAAAATCCAAGTAAAATTTAAAGTCGATATTTAAAAGGAAAATAATGATTGAATATAGTCTCTAGTGTAAACAAAATGGTGCAATTCTGAAACTATATTGATAATCAGTTGTCACAAAAGACAATACAATCCTATGTGACATTAAATTTATTGAACTATATTTTTATACTTTTATAATATTGGGCATTAATATAGTTCATATGTACTTTCTGGAAGATAATGAAGTGTGTGTTTATTCAAGAATTTTTATTCTGATAAAATCAATAAAGTTGAAAACATGGTTGAAAGTACAAATAACAATCAAACAGCTGTGTCCTTTATATAAATGATACATCACACTCATACGTTTTTTTTGTATTTACCATATTATAATATAATAGAAAAGGATGGCTATGTATTTTGTCTTATTTGTCAGGTTGACCTTGTTTTTTTTATATTTTTTATTTTTGAATGACAAACATAATTTTTATAACACAGTTATAATTTGTTTGTTAGGGAAAACAAATTATAACTGTGTTTCCTGCCCCCCTACTTTTTCTAGATTTTCATTTACACATTGTATGGACATTACTGATTGAGCACTGTTCAAGTCCAGACATTTTGATAAAGCACCATAAAAAATAAAATCTTTTACCTACCTAACCTATTTTTTCTGCCATGAGACAGGAAATAAGTATATATTTTGGCCTAATCATTGTTATTTCAATTTTTTAGGGTTTCTGCTGCTGGCCTTTTTCAATACAGAACACACCAAAATAACTTGAATAAATGGGTATGCATGCTTGTGAGAAAAACTAAAATTTTTGGAGGGAAGAGAATGAATGGAATTTTCCTATGAAATGCTTGGGTAAAAATGTATAATACACTGTGTAGGAAAAAGTAGGTATTACAATTAAATATATTTTGTTATAAGTATTTCTTGAGAAGTATTTTACTTAAAGAAAATAAAGCTGTCTGAGTGGAAAAGTTTAATGCATTATGGAGGAAAAAGATAGAGGTTATAAATTATTAAAAAAAGTGGAAAATATGTGAGTAAAACATTGTTAATAAAAACCTGGTTTAGGTCATAAGAGTCTACATTGATCTGTGTTATTTATGTTGCCAGGCAAAGGTCAAGGTTGTAAGAGTACATTGATCGGTGATGTTTATATTACAAGGCAAAGGTCAAGGTTGTAAAAGCCTACTATAAATCTGTTAAGTTTATGTTGTTAGGCAAAAGTCAAGGTTGTACAAGTCGACATTGATTTGTGATGTTTATGTTACAAGGCAAAGGTCAAGGTTGTAAGAGTTTACATTAATTCTTAAAATATTTATTAGAAAAGTGTAATTGAAATCTGTTGATCAAACAAATTTTTAACTTAGTTCATTGGAATACTTGTTTGTTCTAAAGTGACTTATAAGAGAAAGCTTCATTTCATTTCAATTTGATTTATTTTAATTAGTATGCCAATATGTGGCTGTTGGAGATATATTTATTCTTAATTCCATACAAGAACTATATTACCTAAAAAACTAAACTTCTTCGTCAGCACTATATGTTTTCCCAAAACTTTTAAAAGAATTATTTATATGCATAGCCCATACAGTCCACCAAATTAAGATAGTTATTAATTGTAGTACTTTCATAAACTGACTGCATGTAAGTTACTAGAACAAAGTTCATGACCAAATGTTGTGTATCATAATATATCATATTTATTTATTTATGTTCAATTTCCAGGACAGTCATTTTGCAAAGAGAAATAGAATCTCTATATCTGGGTATTTTGTCTCATTATATAACTTGCATAATATATATTTGTTATTTATAATGTGTATTGTTAGTCAAAGGGAGGTAACTAGGGAATGATTGTAATTTTATTATTTTTCAGTTATCTCTCTTTACATTGTAAGTTTAACTGGTAATAGCCAGGTTTATAAGAAGAGGGTCTGTGCAGTATCTTGTAAACATGAAGTTGTAAAAAAGAAAAATCTCATTTGACAAAAGTATCCTATCCATGTGATATGCATGTTCATTTTTCAATCCAATATTTATATATTTGATATTTTTTTTTAGAGAAGCCTTAATACAAGATATAATAAATTACAATCTTGTTATACATTTTAATTTAAACATATATATATTACTTTAGATATAATTGAAATCACTCATTATTTGTTGGAGGAAAAAATGTGCAACAGCACACGTTGTCAAAGATGCATAATGGTAGAGTTCAAGTCATCACCTTGAAATTTTTATCTTAACAATATTATACATATTTTGTGGAAAATCTTAGATATGAACAGTAGAATGGACATGGTCATGAAATGATTGCCCCTTACCTAATTTCTGTGTCAAAGATGACTACATCATTTAAATATTTTAAAAAAAATGTTTGGCAATGGGGTTTTTTTTTCCGACTTGTGGTTTTTATTGACCTTTGGTATCTCTTCCCCCTTCAGCAAAGTTAGCTGCTTCCTTTTAGTGTCTGTCGTCTGATGTCTTTTGGTCTGATTTTGATAGATCTTCTTCTCTAGAACCACTGAACCAAACTGCCAGATATGTTTCTGTGAAGGTCTACTTCAAGTGTTTTTACTTTAATGCCAATCAAATATCCAGCCCTCAGGTTTTGTGCTACCGTGTTCGTCTCTAGTGTGGGAGGTCGTGGGTTCAATCCTGGCAGAGTCAAACCGAAGACTTAAAAATTGTTACTTGCTGCTTCTCCACCAACCAGGCAGCAAATAGTAGTAAGCTGGTCTTAGAGTCAGTATAATATGTCTGGGTAGGGTGATGTGTCTTCCTGTAGACTGTCACCTTGTATGCTATAGATATAAGAAGATGTGGTATGAGTGACAATGAGACAACTCTCCATCGAAATCACAATTTGTAAAAGTAAACCATTAAAGGTCAAAATACGGCACATTAAAAATCCAGCTAACTGTCGATCTAGTAAATAGCAGGGTTCATATTGAAATCAAATTAACATTTCTCATTCTGAATATACATTTAATTTGCCACTGGACGTCAAACAGCCATCCATGATCATCACCAATCAGAAATTAAATGCTGCCAGCAGAGATTAAAGATGACATTGAAACCTTATGGGAAATCATATTTCCTTTTTGTCGAGCCTGTGACATTTATGTCGCGAAAGCAAGTCATACCGATCCTAGATTCCGTCGTAGGGGGCGTCAACATTTAGGTTCAGTCTGTGGTTAAAGTTTTTTTAAACATCATTAACTTTGTCAAACCTTCATGGAATTTTATGAAATTTAGACAGAAGCTTGTTTGTGACCAAAATACAGTATCCAGAGCAAAATTTTGAAAATATTTATTTCCATTTTTCCGTATTTTACTGATAAATGGACTGAGTTTTTTTACAGATAACAAGTAGATACAGTCTAGTGTTTTTGTTTGTTAATTAATAAATCAATTACTTTGTCAGACCTTCATAGAATTTTATGAAACTTTGGCAGAAGCTTTTTAGCTCACCTGGCCCACAGGGCCAAGTGAGCTTTTCTCATCATTTGGCGTCCGTCGTCTTCATCTGTCGTCAGCTTTTACAAAAATCTTCTCCTCTGAAACCACTGGGCCAAATTTAACCAAACTTGGTCACAATCATCATTAGGGTATCTATTTTAAAAAATGTGTCCGATGACCCCGCCCATCCAACCAAGATGGCCGCCATGGCAAAAAATAGAACATAGGGGTAAAATGTAGATTTTGGCTTATATCTCTGAAACCAAAGCATTTAGAGTAAATCTGACAGGGTAAAACTGATAATCAGGTCAAGATCTATCTGCATTGTTATTTTCAGACAAATCTGACAACTCGTTGTTGGGTTGCTGCCCCTGAATTGGTAATTTTAAGGAAATTTTGCAGTTTTTGGTTATTTTCTTGAATATTATTATAGATAGAGATAAACTGTAAACAGCAATAATGTTCAGCAAAGTAAGATCTACAAATAAGTCTCATGACCAGAATTGTCAGTCGACCCCTTTAGGAGTTATTGCCCTTTATAGTCAATTTTTAACAATTTTTCGTAAATTTTTGTAATCTTTTACAAAAATCATCTTCTCTGAAACTGCTTAGACAAATTTAACCATACTTGGCCTTAATCATTATTGGGGTATCTTGTTTAAAAAATTTGTCCGATGACCCCGCCTTCCAACCATTATGGCCGACATGGTTAAAAATAGAACATAGGGGTAAAATGCAGTTTTTGGTTTATATCTCTGAAACTAAAGCATTTAGAGCAAATCTGACAGGTGGCAAAAATGTTCATGAGATTTAGATTTATCTGCCCTGAAATTTTCAGACGAATCCGACAACCCATTGTTGGGTTGCTGCCCCTGAGTTAGTAATTTTACAGAAATTTTGCAGTATTTTGTTTTTATCTTAGATATCATTATAATATCTAATATTGTTAGTTATGAATTTAACCTTATTTTACATGATTTCCAAAGCATCAGTAAATACAGGTGAGTGACACAGGCACTTGAGAGCCTCTAGTTTATGATTAAGAGATAATGTCTGAAGCAAACTTTTGAAAATATACTTTCATTTCCAGTAATGTTATGAAACTTGGACAGAAGCTTATCTTCAAGACCAAGAAATAGCTTCTAAAGAAAAGGTTTGATTTTTTTTTCAATTCTATATTTTACTGATAAATGGACTGACTTTTTAAGTCAACATTACACTTTTACACTGACAGCAGCAATGGTAGGCGAGACACAGGGTTCCTTAGAATGTAGTAACCAAGTGCTGTTACTTTGGTCCTGATGAAAAGTCAGATATGGCTTTAAGTGGCAATAAAGGTGGTCAAATTGTGTTGATTTTCAAAGATCTTCTCTCTAAATCATTGAACCCATTGAAACCAAATTTACCAGATATGTTCCTGTCAAGGTCCTTTACAGATGTTACTCTGATTTAGTTTAAACATATTTTATTGTCCAAAAATATTGACAATAGGATAAGACACAAGTTTTGCAACTTAGAACGTCTTCTCAGTTACTCTGATGCCAATCAAACATTCAATATGGCCTAAAACAGAGGCCAAGTTTCCATTGAAACCATTTGATAATTTCTTTTCAAGAACAGAGATTAAGATGAAACAAACCCTGTAAGAATGTTCTTTAGAACTTACTTGTCAAGAGTTGTTAGTTTGGTACTATTTAAAAGTCCAATGTAGTTCAGGGGCCAAAAATGGGGTCCATTCATCCAATTTTCAAACATTTTCTTTCTAGAGAAAAAAAAACAAACAATTTAATTGAAACTTGACAGCAGTCTACAGCTTGTTACTGCTACTTTCAGAAATTTTAAAAGGTCATCAGTATGGGCTAAATTTTACACTGAAACATTATGGGAAGTTACAATCAAAGAACAAATGAAAACAAAACAAAACAGAAATGTTCTTTAGAGTACTTATATGTTAATTTTTGGTTCTGATGAAAAGCCTATATTTACTATTTGGCCAAATACATTAAAATGAGTGAAACTGCTTCCTATTATAATAGCTTCTAGTTTAAGGTTGTATGAATTTAATGACTCAGTGAACCCCTTCGCCCCCAATCCCGCCTGTAGTTGTGATGGTGACCACCATTCTTTGATGACCTGTATGACCCTGCATACTTTTTAATAACTGCCCCAGCTGAACTGTTGACAGCAGGGACTTCAACCATGCAATTAATGGTCCATAAACTCTTCTCAGATGTGTGTTTATGAAAATATGGCAACTTTAATCGCCTTTTTAGAGTTCAAAATCGGAAAAACGTGAAAAGTAGCCAAAATCAGGTGGGGTGGGAGTCTTTTGATGGTTACTACGTTACTTGTATGGGCTGTAGGTATTAACTATTATCATAAATACATGCATTGATGGTACAGGAACACAAGGAGGTATAATATGGCAAAAAGAAATCTGGTCTGTAAAATCTAGGTCACAGTTTTGGCAGAAATCTGTAAAAACAGACATTTAGGCAGACCTGGCTTGCCAATAATAATTCCCCAACAAGACACTCAAGTCACATTTACTTCCAGTCGGTAAGTATGGACTGCAGTAACTATAAGGTAATGCTTGAATGACAAAGAAACACAGTTTGGTCAATGTTCACCTCTCAAGGTCGTATTAAAATCGAAAAATAGACTGAAAATGACCATCTCATACAAAACATAGGCTTTGAAGTTTTCTTCCCAAGTACATTTACAGTGCAAGCAAAAAACACCAAAAAACCTAGCATGTAATATTTGGTATAAGGGATCCTTGCAAGGTCTCAGTGACGTGTTCGTCAGACAGGTCATTATTTCGTGTATATAATGCATATCGATATCTGCCTTGCATGGTTCATATGACCGTGACCTTTTTTTCATGTTTTATTGGTGAATGTAAAGTTTTCGTGGATAGGAAACGTTAACTATATTTGGTGTGGAATGATTACAATGTGTGATCCGTCTGGCAGGGTTCATCTGAGATTGACTCCATTTACATGTACAATTTATAATGTGAAATGTATGTTATACTTGTAGTAAAATCTTAAAGATTTTCATCATAAAATCAATCATGATCAGTAAAACAGGCGAGACATTTCAGCGTGTGTACTCTTTTTAAAACCATGCTCTATTCATGGAGTGACAATTCGTTATGTTACATAAGTCCGACTTAGAACATCACCACCAACTAACAAGCAAGTTCTTTTTTTCTCAACGAAATTCTTATTTAGTGCGTAGAACCTTAGATAAGAATTTAGCTAAATAGCCGTAAAGATATTCCCATTAAATGCTTCTTTTGTTATTTAGGAAAGAGTTAACATGATTTTTGCATTTAAAAAAAATTCTGATATAATTGGGCCAAAAATTTCTGATTCTGAGAGGAAAGGGCAGTACTCTCTTTATAAACCTTAAAGTTGGCCTACACTAGTCACTCTGCTGAAGTTATGAGAAAAACACGGTCGGTCTCACATACTTAATTCCTGTATGTTATACTGTGACATATATTTATAGTTGTTTAAGCATGTTATACATTTTTAGTGGAAAAATCTTAAGTATGACACAGACAGTCATTACATCATCTTATGCAGTGTATCACAGTGTGACCGAATTCTAAACAA